TACTTCCAAAATTTGTGAAAATGCTCGATTTTTTTACGTGTTTTTAATTTTTAAAACGACTTTTCGTTCGTATATTTGTACTTTTTATGCTCCCAACGTTGAAAGGAATGTCCCTAGAGTAACCTTCTATAATTTTAACCTACAAAAAAAATTCAAAATGGCGGATTTTCAATAAAAAAGATTATTTTTTAACGTATTTCTTATGGAGAATTAACATGCTACGACAAGCAAACTAGAAGTAAACGTCAGTAGGTGAAATATGGGCGTTTGGCGACAGAAAAAGCATTTCCGTCACTTCTAGAGTATCTACGGGGCTGAAATTTTTTGTTAAGGTATGTCTGGGTACCAAACCACCCAGAAAGTCCCGAAATTTAGTTTTTCCAACTGAAACCCACCAAAAGAAATCCCTTAAAACCCTAGTTTTTTTTCGGAAAAACATGTTTTTTTTAAACTGCTGTAGCTCGAAAACGGTAAGAGCTAGAAACGATTTGAGGGAAAATCGTAGGTTCAGAATTAAATTTTCTACAAGACACTTTTCTCCAAGAAGGGGTCATATCGAAAATCTTACTCCTTCACCTTCAAAAAACGCTCTACTTCGAAAAATTGTTAAAATTCTTGATTTCTTTGATGTTTTTAATTTATAAAACGGATTTTCGTACATATATTTGTACTTTTTATGGTCTTAACGTTGGAAAGAAAGTCCCTTGAGTCACCTTCTATAATTTCGACGTACTAAAAAATTTAAAATGGCGGATTTTCAATCAAAAATGTAGTTTTTGACTCTTTTTTAACGTATTCCTTATAGAAAATTAACATGCTTATACACACAAACGAGATCTAAATGTAAGTAGGTGAATTAAAAGGTGAGTGAGCGTAGCGAACGAGCTCCAACCTAAAAGTGAGTGAGCGTAGCGAACGAGCTAACCTGAAGGCAAGTGTGCGCAGCGAACGAGCTCCAACCTAAAGGTGAGTGAGCGTAGCGAACGAGCTAACCTGAAGGCAAGTGAGCGCAGCGAACGAGCTCCAACCTAAAAGTGAGTGAGCGTAGCAAACGAACTTCAACCAGGATTTGATTGAGCCATTTTACCTCACTCTAACTCCTAAGACTTTATATCGATGCTTATTGATGTGAAGAAAGTTTTAGAGGTTGTGACAATTTAATTTATGCAAATTTAATTTATCATAGCACCGGCCCTACATCGAGACTCTAACATGTCAAGACTGGTTTGGTTTGCACTTAACAACCCCTCTATGAAATACTTCGCAACTGCAAAGTTATCACTACGTCTTTTACGCAAAAATGTTTCCGGACAACATCCTGTCCCCCGTGACAATTTCTCATCACGGCTACTATTAAAAGGGGGCCTGGGGGCGGAGCCCCCAGCGAGCACAAGGCGAGTATATATATATACAGGGTGATTGATATAAGTGTGCCAGCCGTTTTATTCGAAAACTATAGGAGATATAAAAAAAAGTTTAAAGGTAAGTGCCTTGTATTTTTTATTTAAAAAATTATAGTCATGTCCAAAAATTTTTTTAGCCGCCATTTTTCCAATATGGCCGCCAACTTTGATTTTTCTTACGAAACACCCTGTATTTTATGATGTATTCTGGTAGAAAAAATAATTTTAAGACGATTTTATTCTTGTCATTTTTTTCATAAACCTAACCGTTTCAAAGATAATAATGGTTTAAGTTGTTAAATTTTGAATGGTTTTCGAACAAAACAGCTGGCATGCTTGCTTAGGCTTTTATCGAAACTCTTTCTCATGCAGAAATTTCAAAACTTTAACCATAATTAATTATCTTTGAAACGGTTAGGTTTATGAAAAAAATCACAAGAATAAAATCGTCTTAAAATTACTTTTTCTACCAGAATACATCATAAAATACAGGGTGTTCCGTAAGAAAAATCAAAGTTGGCGGCCAAATTGGAAAAAAGGCGGCTAAAATATTTTTTTTGACTTGACAAAAATTTTTTAAATAAAAAATCCAAGGCACTTACCATTTAACTTTTTTTGGATATCTCTTATAGTTTTCGAATAAAACGGCTGGCACACTTATATCAATCACCCTGTATATATATATATATATATATATACAGGGTGTCCATAAAAAACGTTTCAGGACTTTGGGAAATGAATCCCCATACTAAAAGGAAGAAAAAAGTTTATGGGAAGGTATGTCCGAAAATCCATATTTACCCAAATATCCGCCATTTTGTTTTTTATACAAAAATATTTTTATCTGTGAAGTTTTTTATTCGATGATTATGAAACTTGGTAAACATGTTACCATACACAAGACCTATAATATAAAAAATAATAAAGTTGTTCCGATTGTAAATTTCAAAATGGCGGCCGTTTGAATTTTTCTAACTTAAATAACTCGAAAACGGCTAATCTATGAAAAAATGTCAAGGATACTTTTTTTTTGCATTTTTAATTTCCTATCAAACGATACCAAGAAAAGATCCTATCAAAAAGATCGGACAAAAGATAACTGAAAAATACCGGTTTTTGTGTAAAAATAAGGCAAAAATTAAGGGTTCCCCGACTAACTTTGCCTTATTTTTACACAAAAACCGGTATATTTCAGTTATCTTTTAACCGATCTTTTTGATCTTGGTATCGTTTGATAGGAAATTAAAAATGCTAAAAAAAAGTATTCCTGACATTTTTTCATAGAATTAGCCGTTTTCGAGTTATTTAAGTTAGAAAAATTCAAACGGCCGCCATTTTGAAATTTACAATCGGAACAACTTTATTATTTTTTTTATTATAGGTCTTGTGTATGGTAACATGTTTACCAAGTTTCATAATCATCGAATAAAAAACTTCACAGATAAAAATATTTTTGTATAAAAAACTAAATGGCGGATATCTGGGTAAATATGGATTTTCGGACATACCTTCCCATAAGCTTTTTTCTTCTTTTTAGTATGGGGATTCATTTCCCAAAGTCCTGAAACGTTTTTTATGGACACCCTGTATATATATATATATACCGGGTGTCCAAAACCACCCGTACACCCCTTTTAAAACGCTGGAAACATTTTCTTACAAACAAAAAAATAATACAAAACTAGCTAAATTGGGTACGGTTTACCAAATGGTGATAATTTCAAATCCAAAATCACACCGGAAGTGGCTTTTTCAGACCGGAAGTTGACTTTTTTAAATGTAAGCTACCAATTTTGATTACAGAATCGGATTCTACGTTGAAAAATGCATAACTTTTGTATAAAACATTTTTTGAAAAAAACTAGTTTTCTACCTCAAATCCCCTATTAAAGTCAATAATTTTGGGTCATTCATCTGTCAAAGTTACTGGAAACAATAATAGAGAAAAACAAATAACAAAGATAACATAAAGACATATGATGAATAGAATCAGCTGTTTATTGTAAACACCTTAGTAATTGAGTAACAGCTGGTCTACACATTGCTTAATTTAATTTTTGTTTAAATCATTTGACCATTCTAATGTAAAAACAAATGATTTTTTTTAATAAAATGTGATATTAAGCAATGTGTAGACCAGCTGTTACTCAATTACTATAGTGTTTACAATGAACAGCTGATTCTATTTATCACATGTCTTTATGTAATCTTTATTATTTGTTTTTCTCTATTATTGTTTCAAGCAACTTTGGCAGATGAATGACCCAAAATTATTGACTTTGATAGGGGATTGGAGGTAGAAAACTAGTTCCTTCAAAACATGTTTTATACAAAAGTTATGTATTTTTCAACATAGAATCCGATTCTGTAATCAAAATTGGTAGCTTACATTTAAAAAAGTCAACTTCCGGTCTGAAAAAGCCACTTCCGGTGTGATTTTGGATTTTAAATTATCACCATTTGGTAGACCGTACCCAATTTAGCTAGTTCTGTATTATTTTTTGTTTGTAAGAAAATGTTTCCAACGTGTTGAAAGGGGTGTACGGGTGGTTTTGGACACCCGGTATATCCATATATAAAAATTTGAACGAATGGTGTTTTTGGCCTCTGGGGACATCAAAATGAAAAAGTAAATCGGTCCCGGGCCTAGGTCTTACCTTGCCACCTACGGTAATAGCTACTTCCCTATAGGGAAATTCGCTAAAAAATTGTAATATAACATGTGTCCTATCTCAATCAGTTTTCGGTCTATCTGCCAGTATGTGATTTTAACAAAAACATTCATAACTCCTTTACTGTTTGAGCTAAAGCGTTGAAATTCTGTGAAAATGTTTATCCTAATTACCACTATGTTTTTTGCAAAAATTGAATAAAAACTCTTGAACTGCTTTGAAATGGCGGCTTTTACAAATATTTGATATTTGCATGAGATGTAAAATCAAAGTAAATTTCATGCAAATTACAACGATATCTTATAATCTTAGTTTGGTCAAAGAATAGCAGAGAAATTAATATTTTTCTTCATCTAAACAATGTTAAAAAGGAGTTTTATTAATTTAACATAGTTTAAATGGAGAAAACTACTGTAGGTATGGCAAGAAAAAAAATCTCAATTATTCTTTGTCCAAACTTAGGCTTATTTGATATCGTTATAATTGCATGAAATTTACTAGATTTTCATCTCCTGAAAATATTTTGTAAAATTAATGGTTTTCATGGAATTTGGTAACAAATATTTTTAAAAGCTGCCATTTTTAAACGGTTAAAGAGTTTTTATTCATTTGTTGCACAACTATAGTGGTCAATAAGATAAAAATGTTTACATAATTTCAACACTGTAGCTCATACAGTTAAGGAGTTAACAATGTTTTTGTAAAAATCACATACAGACAGATAGGCCAAAAACGGAATGAGATAGGACACATGTTATAGTACTTTTTTCTTCTTTTGACATGCTGAATAACGTGACAAAGTTTGTTCATATGGTTGCAAGACACCCGTATATGCATATAACTCCTAATGTTAGCTTTAAAATACTCATATATAACTTGAAATATTTGTTCATTATATTACAGAAGTATTTTTATTACTACTCACTGGGTCCGCAAACAGGTACACTGGAGACTGTAGCGGTGGGTTGTACAACTTTGGCTACACTCATCATAGGGGTAGCACCTTCCACACTACCCTCTACCCACACACTGCTCTTGCCTACAAAAACACAACACAAGGAAGTGATAGAATGGCAGTTACAAAACTGGCATAGTTTAAACTATCTCATTCAAGTTTATCCTGCCCTACAACACCAAGTCAAATTTCATCAAAATCGGACAAAAATTAATCAAGAGGTTCACTCACATATATATATATATATATATATATATATATACATATATATACACAAATAACAATTTGAACAAATAGTGTTTTTGGCCTTCAATGGCATCAAAATGAAAAAAGGAAATCGGTCCCTGGCCTAGGTCTTACCGTGCCACCTACAATAAAAGCTGCTTCTCCAAAGAGAAATTTGCTAATAAAACAAATCCAAATATATAGTCATATCATATCGGTACAATAAAAAAATTCAAACAGGCAACAGTTTTCCTTAATCTTTTGCAACAATATTTGACAACATTCTTATATTACCTGGAGGGGTTAGCCTAGGTGATGTCTGTGGAGGAATGATTGATGGTTTGGAAGGTGGGGGAGGACCACGCACAATCGTAGGATGTACCATGGGCCCGACTAAATTGGTGTTAGCTTGAAACATTGCCACCTGATGTGCTTCCGCTAACTGCTTCTCCAAAGAAGCAACTTCACTTCGGGCCTTTTCCAATTCAGCCTCTAGTTCTTTTGCCCTATTGAGAGAAAATTTATCCTTCTGTATTCTGTAAGTTAATAAAAGTCTCCTTCGGCACTAACTGCTACAGATCTCCTTTCCTTGGATCAAGACAGTACCAACAAGGTAGTAGGTTTTATCACAGGACACTGCCACCTTACAAAGCACATGCACAAAATGGTCCACTTTGTGGGAGAACTATGCAGTATATGGGTATTCAGAGTGAGACTGCTGAATAATTTCTCTTTGACTGTAAAAAGCTAGAATCAGTAAGGGCTGACACCTTGGTAATTTGACTAAGGAACAGACAGCTCCTCAGGCTCTAATCAAGGAGATCTGAAAAATCAATGTGGCTTGGGACAGAAAACCCTCTAATGGCTGACACACACCATTATGCCACAACATAATTAAAATCAGAAGTACACATAACTAAAGAAAAAAACTATTATATATGCTTAAACGAGATTTTAGAATTTTTGTGGGATTACCAATCAGTGTTTAGGACTTGGTATTGGTATAAGTCAATACTGTCTGTAAGCACTGGAGTCATTTTTTTTTTGTGGACAATTGTGGTACCATTAGCACTGACTATGTTTTGATAACACTTTACCATTGCATACCATCATAAAAGGATATTAAACAGTGAACAAAATGATTTTTTGGTCATAATTAAATGGACATAAAATTAGCAGTGTGTGCAAAAAATCAAAAGGATTACAGAATATTTGTTGTTTTGCTTATTGCTTGTATTTAGAGGCTAAAAATAAATGGAACGAAAAAGAATCAATAGAAGCTAGCTATTTCAAAACACCAATCAGTCAACAAACCAGAACATCTAGTCAACAACCAGTGGATGTGTGAGTTTTCTTTGATAAATCAACTGGTCAGTGATGAATCTTAATTGGTTATTACGATTGAGAGTGCTTTCTTAAATATATCAATGGGAGGAATACATTAACTTCCTCTACCTACTTTTATGATGTATTAACCTCACTTTGTAAGAACTTCTATAATTTTATTAATTCTTTTCATTAACACTTATTAATTCAAGTTCATGGATAAACTTGGCATGGAAGCTAAACAAACAGTATATTTTTTAACTTAAAAACTAATTAAAGTACATTTATGTTGTGTTTTGTACCTTTTTTCTTCCTTCATTAGATTGGCTTTCAGTTGTTGACTTTCAGAATCAAACTGTGCCAATTGTTTTTCCAGTTCTGCTTCCATTTGTAAAGACTTTTTACTTTCCTCCTCTAAGCCCTCTGCCATAGAGTCCATTCTTCCTTTTTCTTCAGTTAATATCTGTGGAGAAATTAAACTTATATTGGTAAATATTTTATTTTTAGGCAAACTTCAATGACAGTAAAACTTGATAAATCAAATTTCTGGGCCATGATGATGTTAATATATTGGGTATTTATTAGTGATGTGTCAATACCACAATTTAATTCTCGATACTGATACCAATACCTGAAAAATCTATTCTACATAAATACCCATACAATTTTTTTTCTTTACCAAATTTTCTGTATGAATCGGTTATGCTACTATAACAACCCCTGTCTTAATGTCCTTGTATTAAAGTAATTTTTGGGTAATGGGGTGTTTTTTTTTTAAGTGAAGACAATTTATGTAGATATGAAAAATTGTTAATAGCCAGTTCTAATCTAAACCCTTCTAAACACATTAAATAAAGGTAAATGAAGATCTGACAAACAAGAATCATAAAGAAATTTTCATTATAACTAGAGGGTACCAGCTTGAGATTTTTGATCAACCTCGATAATACGCTTGGTAACATGCTCATCATCTCCCACAGTTGTGGAGACAACTTCATCGTCTTCCACAATCACTGCAAAATTGTGAAAACTGAAAATATCTCCTCAGTCACGGAAACATCAACATCGTCTCCTGCGATGGCGACTAAACTCTGATCATCTCCTGCATACGTGCAGACACCATCGTCTCCCACGGTCACGGAAACATAATCATAGTCTTCCGAAATCATGACAAAATTCTGATTATCTCCATCAGTTATGTAGATATCATCAACGTCTACCACAGTCAGGGCAATCCTGAATTCCCTCGGAATGGAAGCATCATCATTGTCTTCCGTTACCGCATCTGGCAAAATTCTGATCATCTCCAGTGGTTGTGTACCTTTGAGACCTTGATTTACGGACAATTCTCGTATCACCTGGTAAATAGCCTGTAACCAATTGGCCCCAGAGTGAAGTGTTCCGTATTTTTTTTATCCTACAATGAGAATACTGAAAACTATGCGGCTGTTTATGCTCTTGGTTGGAGGTAAAGTACTTGGCAATGCATAATAATTTAGCATTATGACATTTCAATAACACAGAAAATAAGTTAGCTCACCACAAACTGTTACTCTAATCAGACAAAAAAAATCTGTTGTTTCTGTCGTTTAACAATTCAAGTTTTAAATAAATCTGTATTGGTGTGGTCTAAGTGATACATCTCCACAGCCAAAGAATCAATGAAGCTGTGGATCAAGCAAACTCAATAATTACATGATCCAAGTTAATAACCAACCGTTGACCAAGTTTAAGGTAACCATAAAAACCTACAACCGCAAAAATCAACTGATGATCTGATGGAATTTTGGTGCCATAGACCTTATTGGTTGACAAAAAATGTATTACTATATCACTACACAGTATCAGTAAATGGTCTCCACTGTTGGAACCCTAACAATCGAGAACCCCAACATAGATACCAATTTTTATGTTAAAATTAAAATTAGAATTTGCCAAAAAAGTTGTGATTTGATTATTGGTTTTGATACTTAATTAGCAAAGATTTGAAAGAATTTTCATGTTCAGGAATTAAATTTTCTACAAAATCCTTTTAGGCGTTTTCCAAAAATTGCACCTCTTCGCATCCCCAAAATATGCCCTACTTTCAAAAATTGGCAATTATTTTAAAATTTTCAGTGGTTTGCACTACTTTTTTTTACTTTTTTCGTCAAATCATTTTTTTGCAAATATTATTATTGCTTTGTAGTCTCCTTTGCTTGATCTTCAATTTATAGTCATTACATGTTCTTTTGTAACTTCACTCCTTGACCCCTAAAATAAGTTTAATGTCAAAATTTGAAATATTTTACCACTTTTACGAGGTTATAACGGTTTCTGTTTCTATACCTATTCTATAGGCGCAGGGGAATTGAAACTGTACACAGTTTAAAGTAGTAAAGGTTACACCAAGCTATGAATAGGAACGTATGGGGGTTTAGTGAGAGGTAGAAGATTCCGTGCCGTTCCGGTCAAACCTCGCATGCGGGGTTGGTTCGGCAGATTGGCCACAACCTAAACCCCAACTCTCACTTGTTAGCTGCGGAGAGCTACCTCCTGCCACTGGGTGTTGGTCCACCTACAGAACCAAGTCAGGGGGGCCCTAGACTAAGGTGTAATGCGATCCGTGCCAAGAGTTTTGAGGCACTGGGGGCCTAATATTCAGTGTCTTAACGGAGCCTTCTGGGAACCAGGGGGAACCCAGTCGTATGCACCCCTTACCTCTCTAATCGGGTCACTGGGGTGGTGGACTTATATACCCGGTATTCATGAGAACAATGTAGACGATCTGACCCAAATGGAGGAGGAAGGTCTACTGAAATCTGACGATGAAGACAAGCTCACAGAAACCGGAAAGGAACAAAAAACGACTTTCCAGGGGCGAGTTGCAATGACGGAGGATAGCGGATGCTTTAGCAAAAGGCGAAAAGGTGCTATCCAGAAGTGAGAGGAGGCTGGAGTGGGCTGCCAAGCACCCCAACTCTGCTCCCTGCAAAGCCAGTTCCTCCGGGAACCAGGATGCTGGGAAAAAAGCAGGGCAAGGATGGTACCCCCAAAGCTGACTCTAATGAAGCCTCCAGGAAGAAAGGTGGAGGCTGTGCTAACGCAGCCACAAAGGATTGGCTGGTCAAGCAAGTTCAGGAGCACCCTTTCAGGGAAATCTCGCAACAGCTTGCCCCAGCCAGAGACCTTGTGAAAGCTGTGAAGGTATATTCATGTGCCCATCCCTACAAGGTCTGCTTATGAGATCCCTTGGCCTATTGATGGGAGATCAAAGGGAAGAACAGGTTACCATAGTCAAAAGGCTCTCACGGTTCACCAAGGACCTGGGATTTGACAGAGAATGAGGACCTGTGAACGAGGGTGCACAATAAGCTGTTCTAGCTGCGATGCAATCCCATGGTGACTTGTAAGCCCTCTGTTAAAAAAAAGCTATGAATATAAAAGTGTCATGTTAAAAATCACCCTGCCCTTCCAAATCGATTTACCCCCTTTTATCTATCTTATAGCCGCCACACGTGCATCAGTCTAAATCACGTTTACCCACTTGTAGATTAGCTGGAGATTTGAAATTTGGCATCGGTACCTCATTTTAAATTAGGCTACTTAATTGTTTTATTTTTGAAACCAAAGACAGTATCCCTATTTCAATTTTTTAAACTGATTATTTTTTATTAAGTTAGTGTAGGTTCGTTAAGGGTTTGAGAAAATAAAACTTAGGTCTATTTGTACAAAAAACACTTAAACAACCAAACTCATTCAAATTAAAACAATATATACCATTCCAGAAGGGTTAAATATAGGCATATTTGTTAAAATGATTCACTGCTAAACCAATAAATTTAACATAGGCTACTAATCTTGGAAAGAAAAGTGGGTCTGGAAATTTGTTAAACTAAGTTAACTGTTAACTGCCTATTAAGTTCTAGCTAAATATTTAGAAGGAAGTAATGTTGAATCAGTGTGAACCTATAGCCTGCATTAAGTTAATTTTAGGCCCAACCAACTAACGCTGAGATAACCATCCTATAGCCTACTATTGATAATATTGCATGATAAATATGCCCTTTCATATAGCCTAAGTGATAAATAATCATCATGGTTGACAATTTGAATTTTGTAAATGGGTAAATAAAAATATAACCAATTAACTTGGTACCAAAGGTATCGGTACCGACATTTCACCATCGATTTTCGGTCCAGGTACTTTTCCCAAGAACCGGTGGAACCGACATTTGATGTTAAGTATCGACCCATCACTAGTTTTAGGTTACCCTAATTTACTCCTTTATCCATATATTTAAAGAATCTGCAACCTATAGATTCTAAGGTTTTAATACACAGTTAAGGTTGTGTAGAAAAGAGACATTTTAAGCCCTACAACTATTAAAATTAAAATAAATTACAAATTAATGAAAGGTTATGTGAACAAGTTAAAAACCTCCAACTACCTTTTATCTTGACCATGATAATAAAATCTTAAAATAAATTAGTGAAAGTCAGGCAACATGATTAAACACTACTGCAATTAAACAAAAATCAACTAATTTATTGATTATTTATTTTGTTAAAATATAAGCAAACAAAATTACCAATTACATGATTTAAGATCCTAAAGACTTAAACAACCTAAAACACAATAAAACATCCATCTAGAAACCTATAAATAAACCTAAGTTATCCAGGCACATTCCTTGGCTGAATGCAGCAATGGGCTACAAGATGTCTCAAAACTAATAATTACGTAAAATAGACTTCAATATTATTTACCTGTGCTAAATCTTCAGATCTTTTCCTTTCTTCAACGTACTTCATTATAATCTTTTTACGTTCAGCTAGCAGTAATAATACTATTTGTTTTTGCCTATTTTTTTCTTCCTCGGCCATGTCTGTGAGTTTCTTCAACTCCTTTTCTAGGCGCTTTTTTGCTTGCTTTTCTACTTCTAATTCCTATATAAACAAAAATTTGTTAAAAAATTTTTAGATACAAATGTTAACCATACCAAAGTTAGAAAAGGTTTGACCTTGTTAATACAGAATTAAATAGCATAGACTAATATATTGTAAATATTAAAGAAAATTTTTAAAAAATCCTATTCTTTTTACTATAATGTAACTTTATTATTAAGAGTAGTATGTAAGCCCGGCGCCACACTATCCCGTTTTGCCGGTCCGGTCAAACGGTGCCCGGGATCCAACGCATGTTGCTGCGGCGTAGCGGAACTACCGGACGATGGGACAAAATGCGAAACACATGCAGTTAAATAAGAGCAGTCACGGTAAAAATGTTTTTAAGGAAAAAAATATAAAAAGATACTTCATATCAGTAATTTTGATCTAAAAAGCTGGGTAACTCATTGTAACCATCCCATTGTGCCGGGCGCTTATCCCTACTGCTGTCCCAATCAACAGTGCACAGCATGTGATGCTCGTGCTCTTCACTTGAAGTATATTGCAATAGAGCAGGAAGGTGTGACAGGGTGTTGTCAATGTGTTAAAAACGCATCCCGCTCAACCACAAACCGCTAAACAGGATAGTGTGGCGCCGGCCTAAATACTGTATTCATAAAATCACAACTGAAATATAGTAATTGTACAGTACAACAGAAGTACAATACCACATAAAAACTAAAGGTATATTTCTAATAAATCCTATCTAGTTAATGTTTTAATATGTACATTTTTATTGCAGTATCTGACCTCAGCATAACCGACTCCTCGGGATATCCTACCTAGTGTGGTCAATCACGGATGTTGTCATACTTACGGCAGACGACCACAGCTGTCTGTAAAACACCAAGATATGTTCACGGATGTTGCCGCGGTCGCGGAAGACGATGACCGATGTTGCCGGGACTGCAAGATAACTTCAGGCGTGTTGCCGCGATCGCTGAGACGATTACTTATGTTTCCATGACCTAAAGATATCCACACGGGTGTTATCGCGATTGCGGGAGAAAATTACTAATGTAGCCGTGAACTCAAGATATCTTCACTGGAGGAGGGTAAGGAATAACATAGAGTAAAAAGGGAAGTTCGCGGGTCCTCACCCGGACAATTGTCAACATTTATGTAAACAATAGTTTATTTTACAAATTTGTTATTTAACTGTACCTAAATTTGATTTATGTTATTATAAATGTAAAAGTTTAGATATTTTGATTTGTTTAAATTTGTACAAATTTGGTTAATATAGGTCTCATAGGGGCTCGGGCTTATATTGATGGACACCCGTGGAAATAAGAACACAGTAGGCCTAATGTAATAGACTTGTTACGAATAAAAAAATACATACCATATAAATAATAACAATAAATACTACTAGTAGTAATTAAAGAAAAAAATAAATATTTGTACAGCTATATGTTTTAAAAAGGGTAATCTCTTTTTTTTTATTCCTAATCTACTACTTATGTATTCATAACTTTAAAACCCCTTAAGCAATTGATTCAAACTTAGTACATACCTAGTGAAAGATAGGCATAATCTTTGTACAAAGTATCAAATTAATACATTTTACCGATTAAAAATGGCGTCCTTATACAATTTCTTATCTTAAATATCTTAAAAATGAGTGATTCTACTAAAGAAACATCAAGATTACGAGTTTATAAGAAATTGAATGACTGACTAATCAAACGATGCAATCACCTTCAATTGCAATAATCGGTTAATAAACAACCAAGCTTTAGAATTTTTTAGCCTGTATATGAATGTTATGACGTTTTCATTTTTTGTTTTCCCATTGTTGTGCTGTGTCTTGTTGGTGAGGTTTTTAAGATTGTCAATCAATTTTAAATAGTCGCAATTAGAGGTGTGCTGGTAATAAAATTTCAATTCAGATAAGATTTGGGTTGGATGGTTTAGTTGTTCAGTAAAAAAATTGTTTTCCAAAATATTATTTTTGTTGGGTTAGGAAAATTAGAAATTGAAATGTGTAGTTACTAAATGATAAACGACTTGTCACACTTATTTCTACATTTCATAATCATGAAATAGATCAAAGAAAGAAGTCAGCCAAAAAACACATGAATCCTGTTCTTGTTTATGAATACAATTAACAGTCAGCCAAAGAACAAATGAAGCCTGTTCTTATTTATGATTACAATCAAAGGGATCAAATTAATGCTCCATAATGTCCTCCTAAAATGAAAGTGTGGAGGAAAATGGTGCATAAAACTATTCAAGCGGTTGATAAATATTTCCGTCCTGAAGTCTTACATTATTTGGAAGTTTACAAACCCAAAATGTGACCATTTACAATTCAGACTACAGTTGATAAGCGAGCTGATTCATACACATCAGGCAGAGGTAGATGGACCAGTGTATGGCTGGCCAAGCATAGAACCGAAGCCCGCTAGACTCATCGAAAGACATTTCATTGAGCACATTCCTCAAACTGAGAAAAAAGAAAAACCCACAAGGAGGTGTGTAGTATGCTACAAAGCTGGTTTGCGAAGAGAAACATCCTTCTGGTGTCCAGATTGCAAAGCAGTGCTGTGCCTTGTCGACTGTTTTAAGAACTATCGAACTCGACACTCAAACTCAACTCCTGAAGGTAATTAAATTTTCATTTCAATACTATATTTTTTGGCGTTTTTTTTTTAGATTATTTACTTATAAACAATTTTATGAATAAAATGGATTGATATGATATATACTACCAAAGAAAACTAAGTTTCAGTGAAGCAGTAGCGGCTAGCCCATAAGGACTCTCGGACACCGCCCTCCCAACAATACAGAAATCAATATTTTTTGTATCTATGTAATAAAAAAATAATCTATCGTAAATTAAATTAAATTACAATTACTTACGAGTACTTTAATCAATATGATAATAATATGAAATGAAATAGTTTTAAATTTTGAATCCAGTAATGACTGTTTTGCGATAGTCGCTTTCATAATGTGCATTGCGGATGGCGGCCACCTCCGTCCCAAACTCAAAGCATGTAGTCTTATGGTAGAAACACCTAACAGCGCTGAGGGTGCCATGACGTCATTCCAATGCTTTACAATAGGGACTCTGGGGCAGAGTCCAAAGCTGCGCGCGCATTCATAAATCAGGGCAGCCACCCTAAACTGGATAATTCTGCATCACACACGATTAGGATAGGAAGAACTATGTTGGCAGCGCTGGAGCCATCATCCACACTACCATAAACATAAACTAACCTCACTTCTTTCCATGTCCATCACCACAGTTCAGTTAAAGTTTAGTGCCAAACGACCTGTTGTTTTGTGATAAATAGTGTTTAGTGATAGTGATAGTGATGGAGGCCTAAGGAAGGCAGCGGTAGTTTGTTGAAGATTGAAAGAGCTAAGTAGAAATTATTAATAGTTACCTATACTTAATTGATTGAGTTAGTTAGTTGGCATTTTTGAGTCAATAAGTTACGTCTGTAGTTTTAGTATAGGCTAACCTAATTAACCCGAAACTAAGTAAACTAACCATATGTAAAGTGACTCTGACAATTTTAGTTATAGTTACTTATATTCTTAGTCTTAATATTACGGGTAAATTTGCCGTGGGTTGTAGGCCTAAATAATAATGGACGGTGGCATTTTGTTGTCGTCGCCGGCTAACGTCACTAACCAAGTTAGCCTGATTATCAATGAAGGAATCAAAAATATTGACCACAGAATTTCTTTGAAAAAATTAGGACCTTCTAGACCTTTCACGAACATCAACCAGGTTCAAAACAGTTCAAAGAATAAGAATAGCTTCACACGAAAATTTTTGCCACATATGTACAATCATGCAAATTGGCTATGTGGTTGTTCAATTAAAAATTAATTTTTCTGATTCACTTGTTTGGTCATGGGGATTCAAGATCGTGCATGGACTGTAGACGGCATTTCAGACCTTAAACATCTACTGGATAAAGTAAAAAAACACAAAACAAGTGAAAATCACATAAATGCATCGATAGAATATGCAGTTTTAGGTAAAGTTGATATTAGATGCCAATTGGACAATGCCTATAGGTTAAAAATACAAAAACAAAATGAAGATGTTTCGATAAATTGATACAAGTAAGCTAATTGATGCAATTAAATTTTGTGGAGCGTTTGAATTAGCATTACAAGGACATGATGAATGCGAAAATTCAAAAAATCCTGGCATATTTCGTGGTTTGGTTAACCTTATGGCGGAGCTGGATCTAACATTACAACAGCATATAAATCAAACAAATAACCGAGTGTTCTTGGGTCTGTCTAAAACCATACAGAACGAGTTATTGGACTCAATATATTACGTTTGTCTGCAAATGATTCGTGACGAATTGACACAAACCGACTATGTTGCTATTGAAGCCGACGAAACAACAGACTGTGCCACTTTGTCCCAACTAGTATTTGTTATTAGGTATGAGCTGAATGGCACGATTCACGAGCGATTTATCACTTTTATTAGACCAAAAGGCCATGATGCAGAATCAGTTAGCGAAACAGTTTTTGAAGTATTAGAGCAATTAAATCTCGACAAAACGCCTGATAAAGTCATTGCCCAGAGCTACGATGGGGCTTCCGTGATGAGTGGCCAACACACGGGAGTACAAGCGCGTGTAAAATCTAAATATAAGAATGCAAATTTTGTCCACTGTTACGCACATCAATTAAACTTAATCATTGAACGCAGTGTTACACAAAATAAGCAGGTTAAGATATTCTTCAGTAATATCTAGGGGTTTTCATCATTCTTTTCCCAGTCAACAAAGAGAACTGCAGTACTCGATGAGATAGCAAAACGTCGCATTCCAAAAAGCTCAGGTACTCGGTGGAATTTTAAATCCAGAATTTTAAGCACAATTTTTAATTAGCCTATCAAAGAGAGTTGGAGGAATGTAAGTTACATACTCGACGATGATACTAATGACTATGCCACAACAAATAAAGCTGTTGGCCTAAGAAGTATTCTAAAAGACGAAGACTTTACTTTCTGGCTGGACTTTTTCAATCAAATACTGCCCCACAGTGACATTCTGTACAACCAACTGCAGCAAACAACAATTGATTGCGTCAAGGCGTTTAAGTTTGTAGGCGATTTCAAAACTGTGGTAGATCGCGTAAGAAACTCGACCATGTTAGATCAACCGAGAGATAGTGAACCCGAATCAAGCAAAAAGCGGAGAAGACACGACGATCAATTACGCGTTGTCGCAAAGGAAGTGCGTGACATAATTACGTCGGGAATTGATGACCGTTTTACGTGTGTAAATCATTTGTCTGCGGCAAAACTGTTTCAGCCAAGTTTGTTTGGGGAGTTTAAAACCAAGTTTCCCGAAAAAGAGTTACACACTGCTGCGGAACTGTTTAGCCTAAATAAAACTGAATTGAAACAGGAGTTAAATGTTATGTACAATAGGGATGATTTTTCAACGGCCACAGGGTCATTAAGACTACTCTATGACAACAACCTCAAAGATGTGCTTCCAGAGTCAATCAAACTTTTAAAAATCATAAGCACAATACCTATGACTACTTCGGAAAGTGAACGTTGTTTCTCTACTTTGAAACAAATTAAAACGTTTACCAGGAGTACCATGAAACAAGACAGACTAAGTGCGTTTGCTATGTGTTCTATCCAAAAAAAGCTATTGTCAACTTCAAACTTCAACGAAAAAGTAATAGATCACTTCGCCAGCCAGAAAGAAAGGAGGATGGATTTCACATTCAAAAAGTACAATTAAAGTTAGGCCTTACCCTCATGGTATGGTTTTCTACTCACTATTGCCGTGGATGTTTTAATATAAAATACAATTAGTCAAGCCTTACCCTCATGGTTTGGTTTTCTATTCGTTATTGCCGTGGATGTTTAAATATACAATTCAATTATTGTCAGGCCTTACCGTTTGGTTATCTACTCCTTATTGCCGTGGATTTTTTACTATTAAATTATTAATTGTTAGTTATATTTTCAATACAGTGTAGACCCGTTTTACAAGGCCGTAGGCTGGGGGGGAGTTTAGAGGGTCAAACTCCTCCCCCAAAATTCCGAAATTGAGCAGTAAAAATTAAAACTAGGTTTAAAAATTGCAAGTTAAATGATGAAATAGAAACGACAATAGAGGATTAATTAGTTCACCCTAAACAATCAAAACCTAACAAAGACCAAGATAAACCCATAGAAGGCTCATTCCCATGTGACATGGCAAGATGCAAAACCTGCCACATTAATAGGCCCAGCACAACATTTACAAGCACATCAACAGGAGAAACCTTCAAAATTAGGACACAATACATGCTCCACGAAAAATGTTGTATATCAACTTCAATGCAACCATTGCCCATCTCAATACATTGGACTTACCCCCACCAGTTTTAGAACAAGAATGAACAATCATAGGACAGACATAAAAAACAACCATCCAGAAAAACCAGTGCCTATTCATGCTGCCAGCCACAATATGCAAGATTTAAACAGTTGTTTCAATTCAAAAATAATAAGATCTTTCCCTCCCACCTGTAACCCATCACAACTAAGGAGATGGGAACTCTCTTATCAATGGTTCACAAAATCCAGGGAGCCCCCAAACCTCAATCTCAGATAGGCCTAACATTTTCCTTTTCCCCTTCCACACCTAAAAAGCAGGCTTAGACTAAGTGTAAATAAAATCAATGACTCATTAACCTGTAAATATTCATTTGTAAATCCATAGTGTGTTGGCAACACTGCTTCCTTACCAGTGAAAAACTCTTAATATCTAATGTGACTCTCCATGTTGAGAAAGGGACCAGTGGCCTCGAAATATCCAGTGTTTATTTTGTTTGTGTTTTCTTCCGTGTTCTGTAGTGAATGAAGTGGGATGCCTACATTTCTTAAGGTAAGCCTGCTTATCCTATCCTTTCTCACACCTATTCTCAGGCAATTAGCCCTTTCTCTCCAAACCTAATAGAGGATTAATTGTTATGCTTTGCAATATCTATTCATATTTAATATAGGCCTAGTTCTATTAGGATAATAAATCTGATCTATTAAACAAATTGGTAAAAACTATTTAAAAAATATACTCTACTCTAGGCCTACTTATGTCTACTTGCTCATGACAAACAACAGGTGGAATGGGAGTTTTTGGACTATTATTGGACACATTAGGCGTTAAAAATTGCTTTAGAAAGTCACCAAACGGCTTTAAAAATTTACATCTTGGAGGGTGCTCCCCCCAAACCCCCCCCCCTTAACAAGGTCCTAGAGCCGCCACTGCAGTGAAGTACTGTAATAAAGGGTGTGATTACGGGAAAAACTACCGTAGCAGGATCCTGTTGGCTTAAAAAAACTCCTGCCTTGAAGGGTTAAAAACGGATTTTTATATTTGTTTTAAAGATATTTTGTACACAAACTATTGGATCAGCTTAACAAAAAAATATGTCTGTATCATACAACAGATTTTCACCCTTTTGATATATTATTAATAGCTAATCTGCAAACCGTGAAAGTAAATAAATTTACCCAAGGGTAGATTGTTTATTTAAAACAAAAACTGCATTCGTCCTTTTTCCATAGAGAATAAATCGATACACTTTTTACAAACTTTTATTTGTTCTTTTTAATAAATTCCCTATGGACAGACATGAGATAAAGGCCACAGAGTCTGTTATGCTAAATATGGTTCCGAATCCAAGTTTTCACTCAAGAATATGACTGTAAGTGACAAGAATGTTGTTGAACAATGAATTTTTGAATTCTCTTCTTGTCATTAACTTAATTTTTAAGGGATGAACTTCACATACACGGCTATCAGTACTGTGGACCTGGAACGAATTTAAGGAAGAGATTAGCAAGAGGTGATCCAGGCATAAAAAAATTGGATGCGGCATGCAAAAACCACGATATAGCATACTCAAGATCAAAGGATAGTAAAATATACACAGATACCCTTTTGGTGGTCGTGCAAACTTAGCTTAATGTTTCATGTTACATGATTTTGAAAATTTTTAGTGTCCCCCAAAAATGAGAGATTTTGGGCTCAACTGGAGATTATTCTATATATAAGATATATTAACCTTTAAACATTACCAATTTAATTTAAACAGTATGATTTAAATTGGCAATCTGTTAATATAAAGTTGTTTTTTTTTACCCACCCTTATGACGTGTATCTGGAGTGTATCTACAGTGAAGATCCGGATCCAAATTTTTTAAGATCTGAATCCAGATCTGGTACCGACATTTTCTTGGATCCGCCCATCACTAGTAAGTTATACACCCTTTTATACAAATGAATTTGAACTTATGATGTTTATGATGATGGCTTCAAAGGACATCAAAACAAAAAAAGAAGGAATCGAATCTGGGTCTAGATCTTACCATGAGACCTACGGTACTAGCTCATATGCCATTGCCGTATGTTGTTTGCTATATGGGAAATTCTCAAAAAGGACCGTTAATCTAACCAGTTTTAAAATTTAGGGCGGATAAACTATTTTTGCCCAAGCGGAGGCATTTAATGAAGTCAATCTAAGAGTCGGTTAAGAGAGGGTAAATTGTATCATAAATTTTAATTTTTAAAATATTGCAGGAATACAAAAATATACACAGTGATACATGCAAAACTGTGATAAACAACAAAAAGAACTGAAGAGTATCAGCATAGAAGATATGTACGCACTTGTTTTAACCGTGTCCGTTCCTTTTCTAGACCATAAGTGATGTCATCGCCTTGTGCTGTGTCATGTTCATGTTTCCTTTTTTCTTCAACTAATTCTTGAACAACCTTTTAAAAATAAATGAGTAATGTTAATTTAAATACATTAGTCTTTCTTAAAACAAATAGATAGGCCTATGTGGTGCAACACTCAAGTAAATATTGTCGAGTATTGTGTGTTAGCCATTAAAACAACAGCTTATCTTAGTATTATCACTTTACTATATACCTCATAGCTTCATTATATTAATGGTTCTAGTATATTCCCATGGGATTGGCACGAGCAAAGACACATACAGTAGAGGCTCGCTAATCCGACACATTCGGGACTTAAAAAGTGCCAGATTATTGAATACGCTTGATTACTGAATGCCTTCTATAGAAACTGTTGTTGCGAGACTATCAAAAATACTGCTTATTTCAGAGCAGCAAATGGAAATTGTTGTTTAATGTGCTTTCTCTTATTTCAGTAGTGTATCAATGCTATAAGAAATTAAAATAAATAGAACTAAAATTCCATTGTGCACCAATATCAGTTGTTTGCGCTTGACATTTGCTGATTGCTCTTGACTCTGCCGAACATGCTAATAAGTCTTAAGAATGAAGTTTAAAATATTTTTTTACCTTCATATCGATCCCTGATTATTAAAAGTCGGACCATAAGATGCCGCATTAGTGGCCATTAACAGTATAATCTTGAATAAAAAAAACTAAATAAGAACGATTATATTCTTAAAAACAGTTTTGGTTTTTACACAATTGGTTTTCAGCTGTAATGGTCTTGTTACCTCAATATTGCATTACATAAAATCATCTTACTATATAATTTTCATAGATTTTTTTAGTGATGTTCCCATTCCTTCCAATTTTCAATGCCCAAAGGTATTGTCGATTCTATACACGATTCCCCGTGACTTTGGGTTCTAATACAAATCTCACATGCAAACCTTTTAGAAAAATGTATTTTCCTTACTTGACAATAAAAGTTTTGTTTATAAACTTCTGTTGGATTGGATGTATAAATAATGATTAACAGGTAGGTACAGTGTGTTCTACTCAAAGCGGAACAACCAGCCGAAATGGCAAACAGTGTCTGACTGACAATGACATGAAGTAGGAGGGGTGAGAACTTGAGCATCGATGGTAACATCTACTTATAAGATTGTCGCAAAAACATTGATAATCGATGATTTTTTTTTATTTCAAGTTTTCGTTTACTTTACACCTCAATCTAATTAACTACACTAGCTTTGACTATCTATACAAATAGACATTCCATTCCCGTGTTTGAATTGTTGCCAGTTTTTAAATCAAAATTGTAGTTGATGTGAGCCACTGATGAGATAGTACTGATCCAACCAACTGTTTTTAGTCGAATACACTAATTTTATTAACAAGTCAAACTGATGAAACATCGATTATCTGGGGTAATGGGGGGAGGGAGACCATGGATAACCACGGTTAATCCAAAACGCCATAAAATGTATTTCAAACCTATAAAAAACACCTAATACTATATAAATGGACGTTAATGTGATGATTAATTTGCATTTTATATCATCAAAATACAATTAGGATTGTGCAATCGTGATATGTTAAGTCATTAACCTTGGTTCAGTAATAAAAACTATAACATTTAAACACGCTTACTCACTCAAGCAAAAAAAAAAAAAAACAGTGCGATGGTGCGAAACGTGCGAAACGAGCTACAACATCATAGCAACTTACGCAGATCGAGATGTTCGAGTAAGCGTTAGAAAGCTTTTTGAAAAGAACTTTGTATTGTTTGTATTTTTTATGATCTCAGTACTTGTTTTATATTCAAGATTCAATTTAACAGCTCTATTCTGTCTTAGTTGTACCATGGATAAAACATACTCCCTTAGTATATTTGACATCCTTATACAACAGCCGAAGTCAATTTTATTGTTGGTTCTGTACGTCGCACTGTAGAGGTCGTGTTTTGTTTACAATTTGTTTCTTGTTATTTCGGTCATTTAAAACCTCATTTAACCAAATTAAACAATCTAATCATAAACAATAACTGGCCTCCTAGTTATATAACCAAACAGTAAAGCACAAATCATAAAAATAACCCTTAAATAATAGAAACAAAATTTTGTCAACACTAGCGATCAGTGTCCACGTACATGAACTAGACATGAAAACAAAGTTACAAAATTTACAATGGGATGAGAAATCTACTTGTGTTGCTTAGTCTATGGTTATAGGTACTTAATAAAGTTCATTAGATGTATAATATTTTGTTTTTCTTTATTACCATTCTATGTCTAACCATCCAAATTTTCGATTATCCGAATCAACCTTGGTCCAAATTAATTTTGATGATCGGCATTTACTATAAACTTATTTCAGATCGTATAAACCCCAAATAATTTTTTTTACAGTAAAATCATTGTGACATTCATTGGCGGTTTATCAGCAGTTAAATTATAACGATTACACTGTTACAGTTCAAAATCATTAAATATCGGTAATATCGATATTTTTACTAGTTTAGGGACTGATATAGCTATTGATGGGATATCAATATCGAAGGATCGATGGCCAAACACTAGATTTCACAACAAATTTACAATTTACAGGAACAGTTTTGATTGAGTTTACATGGTTTTTAGGTAGTTTCACACTGAGTCGTGTCCGTCGACGAGCGTGTTATGGCCGACCGTGCATTATTATATGTTACACCAATGAATATGTGTTTTGTATGTTTTGAATGTTAAATTTGTGTGTGTATTATTGATGACATAGTATTCCAAAAAAATTATAAGAGACAACAAGGGCTTGAAAATTAAATACCGGTAACTGTTTTGAACTAGACGCCTAAGACTACAATATGATTGACGATGTAAGGTACGTAAACCTATTTAATTTTTCATAAATCAATCCTGGAGGCAATGCTGAATAAATTGTTTTCCAGGTATCTTTGGTTCTATTTATTATTTTTTATGCAGGGATGCAAAATATAATTGGTTATTTATGAAGCTTAACATTTATAGAAATTATTGAAATGAACTCTTCCTATATCATACTTCAAATAATAAATTATTTTCATAGGCCTATGGGCCTAACCCGTGAATATGCCATTGGTCTTTTGGGCTTTTGTTGGACTGAATAAGCCTTCAGGACATGTTCAGAAGGGTATTAGAAATTGGCTGAGGCCCCATTTTTTTATTTTTTTTTTATTTTTTTTTTTATTTAATCCCGCACAAGGTCTAGTCCTGAACTTCTCGTATAAAACAATTGTCTAACAAGTTACTTGCCTTTCGATGCCTTAGTTCAGCATCTTTGAGAACTCGAGCTATTCTTATCTGTGCTCTTCGTTGCTGCAGTACCAGATTCTCCAAAGAACTGAGCTGGTGCTCCGCTAAGCTACAGATTTGAGCTTCGTCCACCTTTGTGTTGACGGCAGCAAAATTATCCCTGTGTAAAGCTGCCAACGGTTCGTTCAATGCCAAGGGTCGGTTGCGTCCTTGCAACAAGAGCTGCTTTACTTTTTCAGACTGAAAGGAACAAGAATAAATAAAAATCAAATTCAGTTCTTAATTTATTTAAATCACTCATATAGGCTAAGGAATCAAATTAGTAAAAACCCTTTACAATGGATTTTAATAATTAATTCAAGAATTTCTCACCTTTAAAGTTGCTATTACAATGTCTCGAGCTTGAAGCTCTCCTTCCAAGTAACTGAGAAGTTTCAGCAAATCTGCTTTGTTAAATTCCATTTTTGGATTTCTCTGAAATAAAAATATCAGTTAGTTTGAGGAAAATCTATGATGATATTTACATGTAAGGTTTAAAAGTCACACATAAAAACGAATAATGTACACATTCAATTATGTGAAAATGTTGTAGGGTTCACTCACCTATATTAATGTCTGGTAACTTGTCATACACAACTAAAAAAACACTCACACACAAACATACGTTACACGCAATCATACTAGAAATCAAGCCTACGATTGTGTGTCTTTAATTAACAACAATAATAAAAGAAAGTGAAGCCCACAAAATTTTCACAAATAAATGTTACTTTGCCTAAAAGCATGTCATTTAAAAACCCCATTCAACTTCCCACTTCTCCACAACTTGTTAACTGTATAACCATCAGTCTCCACAATAACTTAAGACATAATAATAATACAAAATGTTCAAATTAAATCATTTAATTCTTTGCTTGAATCATGACTTACTGAAAGAATAATAACATGATTGTTCTTAATTATTTTATTGGAACATCCAATATAAACCGATACAACTATAAACTTAGCCCAACTTGTTTTATTGATTAGTCAAAATAAAGCAATTAAAATTGTGATTTGATTATTTGTGAGTAGTTGATAAGCCTTGAATGTTTCTACTAATGAGACCTGCAGGAAATTTTGTTTTAATTATTAAAAAAAAAAAACATTAACAAACAAATTGCAATGAATATTTTAATCACCAACTAGAATGAAAACTTGTTTGTTAATTTTTTTAATGTTGGGAATGGCGCAGATGGGGGGGGGGCAAAGCTGTTTAAAGCCTAGGGTTGCTATTCACACTAAACAAGGGCCTGGGATTGGTTAAAAATAGGCTAATTAAAAAAAAACCTTCTCCCTAGGCATACATCAACATACCAATACAGTTCTTTTCGTCTAATAGATGAATTTAAGTAGGGTAATAGGCCTATGGGTCCATAAAATATAAAATTTTTGGAAAACTTACAATGTTAATTAAAAGGAAACAAGTACAGTAAATTAAAACTTAAAACTAAATTAAAATACCCTGATCATTATGAAAAATGGGAATTACCCAGGTAATATACCTTGGGTTTTTCCTGCAGTTGTAAATACCTGGGTACAGTAGACCCGCTCTTAACCAACCTCGCTATACAAATAATCAGATTATCTGCCAACGCTTGTAAATATTACAGTATCTTTAACCGACCTTGTTTTGAGAGCAGTTCGGATGTTTTTGGTCTGTCCAATTATGTACTAAAATCAGTTGGTAACATCATCATCAAACCCATGACTTAGGCTACTTAGTAAACTTAGTTCTTACCCAAGGTGTCTTTCCTGACTGCTTGAAGTTTGCTAATATCACTCCAATCTTTAAACGAGGGGACCTAAATAAGGCTGATTGTTATTGGCCCAGAGCGACTGTTCCTATAATTGGTAAGGTAATAGAATTTTGTTTAACTGTTCAACTGTATGAATATTTTAACAACAACAACTTGCTCTATAACCATCAGTTTTTCATCAAAAATGTAATACAGTACAAGCAATGGAAGTTACCGGTATTGTCAACTTTATCATTAAGGGTTTTGAAAAAAAAGTATAGGCCTATCATTACCGGTACCTGAAATTTGATGGATCTATTAAAGGCATTTGACTGTCTATCTTTTGATATTTTGTGCAAAAAATTATATTTCTATGGTATTGAAGGATAAGGAAATAAATCTTGTCAAATTTTACTTGTCTGGATGTAAACAAAAGGTCAAAGTAAATAATGTTAGCTCTAATTTTATTTATGTTAAGGTCAGTGTACCCCAAGGCTCCATGCTCGGACCTTTATTGTACCTGATATTTGTTAAAAATGTGTACCGTAATGTTCCTATTTTGTCAATAACTTACTCTACGCCGATGGCACAACCTTGATATGCTCAGATAGTTGTTTAGAACATGCTAATCAACTACTCTCAAATGCCCTAGCCTCTTCCAAAAACTGGTTTGCATCCAATAATTTAGTCATAAATGAGAAAAAAACAGAATTAATCTATTTCTATCTTCTAAAAAATATTTAATTGGGAAATTCCGACAACCTGTAATGCAAAATGTGATGTTAAACTTCTGGGTTTCACTTTAGACAACCACCTCACTTGGAAACCACATGTCCGTAATCTATGTGAAAATTATCAAGAGTTATACCTAATAAGAAGGCTTAAGCAATCAGTAAGCTCGGATACACTGCTAGTTGTCTACTATGGACTCTTTCATGCTACTTTCAGCTATGGTATTTGCCTGAGGGGACATTCATGCCATGCAAAAAAGGTTTTCTGGTGGCAAAAGAAGGCGGAAAAGACTCCTTGAAAACCTGAGAGATTGTCAATCATGTAAAACAAGTTTTCATAAGTTTAAAATCTTAACCATGCTATCTGTATACATATTTTGAACACCTTAAGCTGGGTTTTCCTAGACGCGGAGTCGGCCAGCGGAGAGCGGACAACGGACTGCGGACTCAGCTTGTCTTAGGTAATTTAATGTTACTGTTTTCCTAGCAGCGGAGCGGAATGCCATATTAATTTCAATTCCGCTCTCCGTTGTCCGCTCTCCGCTGGCCGACTCCGCGTCTAGGAAAACCCAGCTAAAGTATATGTAAAACAAAGTAGGGCCTATCAACTCTTTTGCTGCTCAAAATGCTCACTAATATCATCTTACTAGATTTAGACATAACCTTGTTACCCCATATGTAAGGCTTGCAAATACCTGGCAATGTCATGTTTACCATCAACTCGCTCTTTATAATAAACTCCCATTAAGTTAGCTACCTATTATAAATTTGCCACTCAATAGATTTAAGAAAACTGTAATTTTTTTCTAAAGGACCAATCCTACCTGTAGGCCTGCTCTGTAGTTGACTACATGGACGATTGCCTCCAATCCACCTGTTAATTTGATGTAAAATATCTTATCTTTGTCGCTGTTCTTATTTTGTTTTATGTGTCTCCTATTTTTAGACCTATTTTTACAATGTCCACTTCTGGAATTGTCCTATTGAATTATCTGTATGCTTAAAGGAATAAAATCTATTGTATATTGTCTAAAACACACTAACTTAATTTGAAGTTATGTTGACAAAACACTGTATAGGCTAATTCGAAGGGAGGGATTCCTTCCTGCCATAATAGAAATCTAAGTAACTTATGTAGGCCCTAAGTGAAGTGTATAAGTTTTTACACTCAACCAAAACTACTGTGCTAATAGGATGTATATCTTGGATGTACGTCCTTCGCCATGGTATGTAACTTTTGTGTTTATTTGCTTGTCGCTCAATCAATTTTAACTCTTGTATTTATATTGCCTAGGTAGGCTACTAACTGAATTCCTTGTTATTTATATATACATATATATATATATATATATATATATATATATATATATATAAGTGTGTGGGTTTATTGACATAAGACTGAATACGAGATGTATTTACCAACAACTTGACTTGTCTATGCATTACACATGTAAAAGTGACTAATAAATGTCTTAAGACATAGACATTTATTGATCTTTAGGCAAAATTCTTTCTTTTTCTTTCCTTCTTTTTTTTAGTGCAATCGATCTTGTCATGGACGCTTGAAATGCACAACACAGTCATTAGTACCATGTAGTAAAACATGCTACACTAAAGCTAACATAAAAAATAAGTGTTCATTCTACAAAATTAAATAAGAGTGGATATTTTAGAAAAAAAAACAATGACAATGCCTATCTCATGAAGCCTAGGCCTATATGTTCAACGGCAATTAACCATTTTATTTCATTTCAAGTAGGCCTAACAAGATCAGAAGCAAAGCTTAACCAGGCCTAGCTAATAAATGAACTGTTGTTTGTTGTAAGTTAAGTAGCTAAAATAAGTTAAGCTGTTTAATCACTACGTTCTGTAAGTTGACCTCATACCTGTAGGCCTACCTTAAGTTACATAGGAATATTACCTAAAACAGAACTGAGTTCAGATGGTTTATTTTTCTTCTGATAAATTCAACCTCTTGATTAGGCTATTCAAATTTATATTTGCTTGGCCTGCCAATTTCAAATTATCAAGAGCCTAGGCCTATTGTGGGCCTAAGTTACATACCCTATTTATACTCAACTAAAAGAGGCTAAGTTAATTTCAAGATCATAAGAAATTAGTAAAATAACTTATCTAGCCAATTAGGCCTTTACATTCCTGAATGTAGCTCATGTAGGTTAGCAATGACTTACCCTACCTCAACATAAATGTTTAAACTGAGAGATAATATGACAAGACTTCATTAAGCTTACTCACCTTTAAAGTGTTGCTTGTTGATTTTTCAAGAGGTTCATAGTTAACATTGTGAGGCTGTGGTAATGATGACTGTTGTTGCTGAGGTTGCTGATTCTGAAACGATTTTAATTGAGAGCCTTGGCATTGATTCTTTGATGTATTGTTTGTAGCCATTTTCCTACTATGCAGGCCTTAATAAAAGGCCTAATCCAGAGTAAAATAAACGCCCATAACTACAACCTAAAATTTCTATACCATGTTTTACGTTCGACGTATACATCACAGTATTACACTAATCAAACATTACAAATTCACTTTAGATAAGTAAACAAAACAATTATTTCAAAATAAAATACAAACAAATTCCGTCTACCATAACTAGTCACCGACTAGTAGCAGTAGCCCAGTAGCCAGAAGCCAGTAAACTCCGTTCCGTCCGTCCGATCCCGATCCGACAAGATCATCATGTAAGATTGTTCTTCTTCTCCTCATTCATTCTATCATACAGTCAAATCTGAATCTGAAACTTACGACGGTACGACGGCGCTGAAGGGCCACCAACTATAAAAAAATATTTGTCTTCATTTCTGAGAAAAAAGTTAGAATTCTGAGATTAAAGTCAGAGTGCGGGAATTAGGCTTCCTCTCTGATAAAAAAGTCAGATTTCTGAGTTTAAAGTCAGAATTTAACTATAGTGGGCGTTCCCCCCACTAGCGTTAATCCCCTCTGAGATTAAAGTCAGAATTTAACAAGTGGGCGATCCTCTCTGTTAAAAAAGTTAGAATTCTGAGATTAAAGTCAGAATTGAACTTGTGGGCGTTCCTTTGAATTGAACGTTCTTCTACTGCCTAACGACGCGAATTGAGCACCGAAATGGACACTAATGAAAGAGAAGCCATTATTGGTGATTATTTTAGATTCACGTTTACGTGAAAAAAATATTTGTCCAAAAAATATTTGTCTTCATCTCTGAGAAAAAACTTAGAAATTCTGAGATTAAAGTCAGAGCGCGGGAAGGAGGCTTCCTCTCTGAGAAAAAAGTCAGAATTCTGAGATTAAAGTCAGAATTTAACAAGTGGGCGTTCCTCTCTGTGAAAAAGTTAGAATTCTGAGATTAAAGTCAGAATTTAACTTGTGGGCGTTCCTCTCTGTGAAAAAGGTTAGAATTCTGAGATTAAAGTCTGAATTTAACTTGTGGGCGTTCCTTGAATTGGACGTTCTTCTACTGCCTAACGAAACGGCGAATTGAGCACCGAAATGGACACTAATGAAAGAGAAGCCATTTTGGTGATAGGCTTGGCTCAGGCAGAAATATAGCTTATTATATCTAATATATAAAATTCTCGTGTCACAGTGTTTGTCTGCAAACTCCTCCGGAACGACTTCACCGATCGTTATGAAATTTGGTGTGTAAATTCTGTAGGTATGCGAATCGGACGTAAACTATTTCCCGTTTCGAAATTCTTAAAATGGCTCCGCCCCAGTGGCTCTGGAGTTTCCCATGTTAACCTTATGAGAAATGGAATTAATGAATCTTAACAGCTGTTTCAATTAAACAAGTTGGTTCTGTTCTATGATGTTCAATAGCATTAAAGTTACAAGGATTACCAACAGGGTGCAGCACTATTATTTCTTTTACATTTATGACAACAGCTAATTTTCAACCAAAAGGTGAGTGAGCGTAGCGAACGAACTTCAACCTGGAGGCGAGTGAGCGTAGCGAACGAGCTAACCTGAAGGCAAGTGAGCGCAGCGAACGAGATCCAACCTAAAGGTGAGTGAGCGTAGCGAACGAGCTCCAACCCAAAGGTGAGTGAGCGTAGCGAACGAACTTCAACCAGGACGTGATTGAGCGATGCGAACGAGATCATCTTGAAAATTAAACGTAACGGTACTTTCTTTCCATCGGTCTGTCTTAGGGGAAACCTATAACTTAGGCGATACGAATTTCGCCGGGTCAGCTAGTATTATATATAATTATATATTATATTATATATTATATCAAATATAACACTGTGTTGAGTATTAGACAGTTGAAACGTATTTTAAAAAGGTTAGGTTTGTGTAGGAGGATTAATTAGTCTTCAATTGAAGAGGTGAATTAGGAATGAGCTTAACTACTCAGACCAGTTAGGCCTACATGGATACAGATGGATGCATTTGAAATGTAACCAAAATGGCTTTGTAGTAAAACAAAACACAGTTAGTTCGATTCTTAAAGCACTTGACCCTGTAGGACTTGACCTCAGGACCCGCAAACGTTTACGTCGACGAAAATACAAGAACAAAGGTCCAAAGTCCAAAGTATCTTTGGCATTTAGATTCATATGATAAGTTAAAGCCATTATGGCGTGTCCACTGTCCATGGTTGTAAAGACTGAGTTTGAAGAGACTATAACTCTTATTCTACTCATTCACTCAGTCAATACTCAACTCAAAACTCAAACTCAAGACTAGCCTAGCGGCTAGCGCTAAAGGGACGGGTAGAGAGAGAGCAAAGAGTTAAAATCTGACTTAAATCTCAGAGGGGAACGCCCACTAGATCTAGTTGTAATTTCTGACTTTAAACTCAGAATTCTGACTTTTTTCTCAGAGAGGAAGCCTACTTCCCGGGCTCTGACTTTAATCTTAGAATTTTTTGAGAGTTTTTTCTGAGAGATGAAGAAAAATATTTTTTTATTCAGTTGGTGGCCCTTCAGCGCCGTCGTAGAAACTCTTTGGTCTTAACCACTGAGCTATAATTCTAACTGGAGGTAGCACTGAATGTCAAAGATGCGTGTCGCCAGCCGCCATGTTTGTGTGAGGTGTGAGTTATAAGAAGCCATGTTATTGGATAATAAAACTCACTGCTATACCAACCTAGTTATAGAAGCCATGTGTTTGGATAAAAAAAACTCACTGCTATACCAACCTAACAAAATCAGCGACACGCTTTTGACAGACTTCTGCCATGGCAGTGCTATAGATATACCACGAACAAAACAACCTGCGCAGAAACGAAAAGATCACGTGGTTCGCGCAGGTAGGTGGGCCGTACCATTGAAACCTGCGCGGCTCGAAACGGCCGAGGGTTCTTTTGTTTCTGGTATTACTATACCTCCAGTTATAATTTTAGCTCAGTGGTCTTAACATACAAAGTCAAGGCGAATTCTGCATGAACTAGGCTAGCATAATATGGATACATTTTCCCTAACATGCAATACTACATACAAGTGAGAACTTACAGCTCTTGATCTCATTCATTCTTTATAATTGATTTTTTTTTAATTTTAAGCTAATAACCAATCCTATGCCGTTACAAGATTTCATCTAAACATTAGTGCGCAATGCCACATTTAAAGAGGCAATAAACTATGTTTAGCCATTGATTAACCAATGTTCCTTTTAGTACCTAGGTTAGCATTCTTATGGATCACCTGAAGCATTGATTTTACACTTACACATCTCCCACGGCCACCTTTAAATCCAGGCCGCGGCCTGGTAGAATTAATTGGTGAAGTCACAAGACCAAACTGATCCCTGATAACTCTAGTTTCGATCCTTAGAACTTCGCCAGTTCATTGTATGCAACCACATTATCAGTGTATTAATACATTGTGGTATGTCAAAACACTTTTTCCTCTTTGTTATTATATGATAGCTCAGTGAAAAATATTTGTTTAATGATAAGCATTAAAATTTAACACTTTTTTAACCTGGATGTGTTGCTATTAATTTCGGTTTTATTAATTTTATTCTTATCACAATGATGAATCTAGAGTTATTTGATAATCGTAATCTGAATACAAAAACTCAAATAGCTGTAGTGGAAATTGCCTCAATTGTTAATTCACTTTCGATTAACCACCCTGATGTAGACTACTGATGTGTAGCTGTTTAGCTGGAAAAATCTCTGACTTGCTAAATACTACCTATCTGTGTTGCCCTAGATTCCGATAAAAACCTTGTGATAATAAATGAAGAGCTGTACAGTAAAAACACAGACATGAGATCGAGTCATGAAAAGAGGTTGCAAACCTTAGATCGAAACTAAGTTATAAAAAAAAAATAAAAAAACTGAATATTGTTTGCCTCAACCGAATAATGAAGCCAAAACAATGGTCTCTTTGAACTGCAGTGAGGTTTTTGACTGTGTCAATCATAATCTTCTGCATGGGATGTTGAGGAGTTAAAATGCATTGCTGGGTATCATACATCAAGCCAACCGTTGTCCAACCGTTTTTAACTCCGTTGGACTATGTTTAGCCATTGATTAACCAATGTTCCTTTTAGTACCATAGTACCATAGTACCATAGTAATGATGGTCCATAGTTGAGTTTACACGACTTTCATTCTCTGGATCTAGCTTTCACAACATAATTATAATAATGCAAATATTTGTTAATTAATATTCTTTATTTGCAACAATTTAAGGGGAAAGATTAATTAATCATATAACAGTCAATTAAATAATAACATAAATAATCTAACGGTAATTAAATCATCTATATTCAAATACCATTATCCTCTCTAACACCCAAAAAACAATTCAACTACTTGATGCCTAAACAGATTAACAGAAACATAATATTTTATACTGTAGTATCAAAAATGTTATAAGTATTGCGACTATTGCAACTGTCGGCTACTCTTTCACCACCTGAAAACTCTCCATATCAACAATCACAGATAGCTCAGAGGTAAGTTATGAGGCTCATAAGGCGAAGGTGTCAGGTTCGAGACCCGTCTGGGCAGAAACATTATGTTCTAGCTTTTTTTCAAAATTTGTTCTTATGAACTATTTAATCAATTTACTAAACTAATAATTATGCTTTACATACTAAATCTTTATTATTTTGTGTGAAATAAAACTATTGGTTGGATATCAGTTGTGTTATGGTTAGTTGGCCATCGGTATTTTTGGACGGCTGGGCCATTGTTGGACAATGGTTGATTGGAAAACTCAGTTTAAAGAAGTGACATTTCTACCGTTGGCCAACAGTGTGGCTCCACAATTTACCAACGTTAGCCCAACCATCTGTACTACATGGGTGAGGATGATCGACTCCTATCTGGCTGGAAGACAGCAGGTGTCCGTTGAGGGCGCAACATCTTAAGCCCAAAAGTGTCAGGTACGGTGTTCCTCAGGGATCGATTGTAGGCCCGTTACTATTCCTTGTAATAATCAACGACCTTGATAGAGATGGAGGGGTGGTGCTTTTTGCCGACGATACAACCCTGGTATCACGGGGACCCCAAGTTGAGCTGTCCACAGCAGATGCAAAGTAGCATCTCACTGAAGCATCCCGCTGGTTAGAAGAAAATGGTTTCCAGCTCAACCAGGATAAAACCCAGGCACTGGTCTGCAGTCTGGCGAGAAATGCCCCACGGGATGAGCCAGTGAAGCTCCTTGGATTC